CCGTACATTAGATGTCCCCTATCAGAGTGCCCCCTTACATTAGATGCCCCCATCAGAGTGCCCCCTTACATTAGCTGCCCCTATCAGAGTGCCCCCTTAAACTAGATGCCCCGTTCGGAGTGTTTCACCAATTCGTGCAATTCACAAAGACCAGTGCTAAGATTTAAGAAGAACAGCTTGGCATGTCTACGACAAGTGGAGTAAATAGTCCCAGGTTCACATACATGGTACATACACCTCTGTGAATCTGACAGAACTATGGCATCCAGCCAAAAATAAAGTTAAAATAGGAGAAATGACATTCATTCTAATAATACAAAATATTTGATAAAATGTAGAATATCAACAAACGTGTTTTCACAACCTTGTGTTAAAAACAAACTAATAGAAATGTAGCACTTATAAAAGCCAAGCTGTAAATATTTGTCTTTCAGAGGTTCAATGTTCACTTTGTTATAACAATATGAAACCAGTAAATGTGGCTGGGAGAAAATCTTATCAAACTCCAGTTTCTTAGCCCTCATTCACACTAGAAAAGGCCAGCACATACAGCTCCGTGCTGCGTGCATGGCCGTATCGGGCAGCTTCCGGGAAGGACAGGTGCTGTGTGTGATTAGTATGCAGCCCCTGTTCTTCTCTATGGAAGTACGCGGCCTTACGCCGCCCTACGCTCACCCCTAGTGCAGGGCCGTACGGATGTGCAGGGCGGGTGAGCGTAGGGCTGCGTACGGCCATGTACTTCTATACAGAAGGACGGGGGCTGCGTACTAATCACACACAGCACCTGTCCTTCCCGGGAGCTGCCCGATACGGCCATGCACGCAGCACGGAGCTGTATGTGCTGGCCTTTTCTAGTGTGAATGAGGGCTTAAAGGAGAACTATGGGGTCAGTGTTTTTCCCCATAGTTCTCCTTAGGGTAACGGGAGGACACAAACTAGCGTCCTCCCGTTACCCTAAGCTCAGTATACCGCGAGCTACAGCTCGCGGTATACTGAGACGCCGCAGCCGGAGCGGATCCCGACCTGGACGTCGGGATCCGCCCAGCTGCGTGAGTGACAGCTGGCTCTGCCTATCTAGAGGCAGAGCCAGCTGTACCCGCCCCCTCCCCCGTCCGTTCTGCCAGTCAG